CAGAATGAGAGACGCAACCAATTTGATACGGCATTCTTCGGACCCCAGCAACAGAAGTATATATTACCCAAATAAGGCATCTGGATCAACCCCCTTCCCTTCAAGCGAAAAGACGTCCCTATGGGGTTTACGCAAGTGTGACCGCTGGACACGGAGTACCATCCCGCAGTCAAGTCCGAGGGAAGGGAAGGCAGGAATCTCCCCACATAGCTGCGTCGCCACTCTTCGAAATAAGTATATCTCACATCGATATTTTGAATGACTATTTACGGCGTAAGGGAGTACCGGAGCGCGCAGAGGACAAGGCCTGCGGTACGGAGTACGGTTATGTACACACATCGAGGGAATGCATTTATGAGCAAGTCGAACTCTTTCAATTTGAACGAAGCACCCTTATTGGACTTCTCTCGATGGACACTCCATGATGAACCACATTCTCTTGTTATTTGTTTTTCCTTGCTCTCCCTCTACAAAAGCACAGTCTTTGATGATAACTCGAGTCGAGCGGCGCAGCATCACATCCAAAGAAAAACCTTACAGGTACGGCCAAGAAAGGTCCCCAAGGTCCCAAAGGATTTGACAAATAAAAGTTTTTTGTATTTTACCTCTGTGGCCCTTTGCCTTCCCCGAGTACCGTCGCTTTGGGGAGCGGATCTCTGCTTGAAAAAAGGTTCCTTTGCATTAGCCAGACCGACATGTTATCCGTACCATGTACCTTTTCCATTACATGCGCCCCTATCATTTATCCATGACAAAAGGCCAAGAGATCGATGGATTTAAGCTATTCTAGCCTTCTTTCTTCGTCTTTTTTATACGGGAAAAGGGGGGAGATCAAATGCGACGTTTCGTCGACAAACTAGGTACCATCTTTCCGTCAACTATCGACATGGAAGCTGATACTCCATACGGTTCATGCAATGAATCGACATGGTACACACTTGGCGGCCAGTGGTGGCTTGAAACAATATGGGATGCATGTCCTTTTCCATGCCTCCGTATAAATGGAGCCCGACCTGGCCGTATACCCCGGCCATACCATGGTCTACCTGGATAGCTGAAAGCTTGGGAGAAACCAAAACTCGTAATGTTCGGCGTGCTTCTGTCCGTTGACGGCTTGACCCTGGCTGCTTAATTTTTTTTTTTTTTTTTTTTTTTCCTCTTCTTGACTTGTGAAGCACACAAAACAGTGTAGGGATACGCCTGTCTGGGTGCCGAGTCTTCATGTATACGATCTTACAGGGCAGAGTTGTATCCACCTTTGGATCAACCACTGCAACGGAACCTGAAATTAGAATTGACGCATTCCTATTTCAACAGTTACTGTACGGAGTACGGAACCTAGGTATGCACTACTGCTGGTCATATGCAACTAGACATATATTCTCATGTATATGTACGGCACTCTCGGAAACAGCAAGTGCCTAAAGTATCCAGCAGCTATAAAGGATATACTGAGTATATTGGCTCCATTTAATATAGTTACCACGAAAATGCGGTATGTCGCCGTCAAAAAAACGCTGTGCAGCGAAATTTGTCAAAAGTCGCGACCTCCCTCCTTTCCTCTCTTTTTTTTTTATTCTAAATTTTCGGCAGACTAGAACCAAGCTCCAACGCACTATGTGAGCCAGCAGGCTTTTACTGGCCAGTCCTTCGGGTACTCCGTACATAGGAAAGAGTCCGTAGTCGAGATATGAGCCGAATCGAGGAAATCCTTTACTCTTCGTGCTTCGATATCCGAACCAGAAGTATTCCATCGGTTGGTTTCCCATTGGTATCAGATAACCGAATGAACCGGAAACCTTGACGTAGGCGATCTAGCCTTATACAAGCCCATGCAAGCAAATCATCAATACCGATTTCATCGTCTTTAATTTTGAACCTGCCAAGGAATATCGGTCAGCGGGGGTGTCCTTAGTCAGTGACAAAACTGTCTGATGAACGATTAAGGAGTGGGTTAAAGCAGAAAGGAAAGGAAGAACAATGGGTGGAGTGGGGGTTGCCGGTGGCTTTGCGGAGGGAACGGGGACAGAAGATTCAACGCGTTTGATAGCCGTCTGGTTCGTTTACTCCCAGCCCAAAGAGGAAAGTAAGTGAGAAAGGATGGAGGGATAGAATCGTTTTGTTTCTGTCGCAGGCACATCACTGCGGCTTTTTTCCTTTTCCCCTTTTCTTTTTTTGTCTTTTGGGTACGGCTCAGGGTGTCGGGTGAATTACTCCGTCCCCTCTCCAGGTTGGGACAGTAAACTCTTGCCCGCACGCCGTACTCTAGACATCCCTACGAGGGTGTATGTAGGAGTCACCAGGTGATTCCGCCATGAAAAAGGAATCACATTGGCATGTGGAGACGTCGAACATATCAGCGCTCATCCACACCTCCTAACGATGCGGCGCTGGTTGTGATGTGCAGGTCGGATGGAAAAAGGGGTGATTGGCTGGGCGTTCACTAACCTGACAAAAGAGAGCTCTTCAAGAATCCCAGGAGCGCTTGGGAATTGGAGGATTTGGCCTCCAAAGTCCGGATCGGCGCCGCTGCAAGTTTTAGTTCGACATTTGTAGTTGGGGTCGCTGCTGTCATAATCCTTGCTGGTAGCATGGATGCTGTCCTTGGGTCGTTCAACATGCAAATGACAGGCTACATATGGATGGAAACTTTTGGGATTTGACTTCCCATCCCCCGCCATTATGTTCTGTCCTGCATAGATTTCAATAGACAAATTCACTTTGCGTCGAACACTCGTACTTGCCTGCACACTCTTAGGACCCCCGTCGTTGACAGCGGCCGCCATCTGCTCCTGCGGCGATGAACTCGTCGAACTGCTGCGAGCAGCCGACCCACGATACTCCGAGGGTTTCAGCACCCATCCCCCACTTCCTGCGAACATCCCTTTGTTCAGCATCATTCCTTTGTCGCAGCGTTGCCAGTTGAGAGCAACAACTTGAATGCCTTGACGCCAGGCAAAAGATGGGTCTAAATTCGAGGAATCTACTCGCATTCCTGAGGGATAAGTTCGCATCATAAATTCTTTGTTGTGATCGAATAATGCTTGACGTTCCTTTTCATGTGCAGCTTTCACTGCAGCCTCTGAGAGTGAGAATATATGATGTGGTATCTTCGCTTCTGTAAGAACGTATACAAGTTAACACTTGGTATCCGTAGATTATACGGAGTACTCCGTAGGGAATGTATCACTTTCTTGCCCAGAGCAAGAGTAAAACCCATTTTTTTTTTTTTTTTTTTTGGACACAGCAACCAACGAGTTCAGTCTCTTTCACGTCCTCAAGTTACAGGCCAACACAAGCCAATGGCTCCCTTTTTTGTTTTTTGGGGGTCATTTTAAATTGGTCTGGCAAAATGGCCAATGCACCAGGTACGGGGAACGGCAACGGGAGGTGGGCTAAAATTAAACTAGAGTGCGGCTTACCAGGTTGAGCAAAGTTATGAAAAGTATAACCGCGCGTGAATATTCCGAGTCGGCTAAGGGACTGAATGATCTTTTGAGGCTTTGTTTTCGTCGACGTCGATCCAGCTACGACCTTATTCTGAGCTCCGTCACCGTCTCCGCCCACAGCCTGAAGGTCAATAACCTCGATGGACCCTTCAGCAGGCGGGGTATCATCTTTTTCGGGAGATACCCATTTCACCTTTATCAGGATTTTATTCCTCAGAGAGCCTGGGTTAGAAAGATGGTCTAAGTCTCCATTGGCAATCTGGGCATCCATTTCAGGTGTGAGCTCCACAAGAAGCCCTTTCCATGCTTCAGTCATGATATCAACCATAACCTCTTGTTGTTCATGGGAAGCATGAACCTCTAGACTGACGATCACTGGCAGGTCGCTAGTTACAAATGCATTATCACGGATTGTGTAACATACATCACGGAATGATACTTCTTTAGTTAGTGTATGACCGTGAAATACTCGGGGTTCACAGCGTATTGCATCTGTTGCCGGGGCCTTATCAGGCACAGTATCAGATGTGCTTTTGGTACCGAGTTTACCAAAGCGATCTGAAAGAGATGATAAGCTGAATAGGCCAGCGCTCTCTTTTTGAGCTTTTTCGTGTCTTTTCTTGTGCATCTTTTTGTGATCATCTTCTGGATTGTCTTCTGATTCGGAGCTCGATTGGTCCAGTACACCGTCCCAGACGTCAATCTCAAGACATCTACAGCCGCCAAGTAGAACCTGATGAGTAGTTAGCATCACAAATGCAATATTGGGGTTTTTGTTTTGCAGCAGAGCAAAATAGCCTAAATAGGCAAAACTGAATCAAGAGCAGAAGCGGACATGGGCTTCCGGGTCAACCTATAGGCCGGGATTGAAAATTGAACGTAAGGGAAGAGAAATTCAAGGAGAGGGACAATTGCAGAAGAGGGGGTAAAACTAGCCAATATGCATGCTGAAAAAAAAGAGAGAGCAAAAGAAAAAGAAAAGCTGCATTGATCGCCGGATTTTGATCTTCATCCCATTACAGTCACTAGTGGGTGTGGAAGTCCGAAGCAAATACAAGTCCGTACAACTGCGAACTTTAGCCTTTTGTTTTCATGGCTCAAGGTCGTATTATGCGAGAAATACACTCCCTGTAGGCTGGCTCCTGATGACGGGAAGAACATTCCATGCTGGAGGTTCCCGTCTGCGAGCGCGCACAAACACACCTCACCCCAGACGGGTATCAAATGGGGAGGCGGATCGGCAGCATGGACCATGTTGAGGCGCTATAAATGCCCAAGAAGAAAAGTAAAATAAAATGAAGGAATTGGTGGTTAGGGGAGGAATAACAGGAGAAGGAAGGGGAGAAGGGGATGGGGTGAAAAGAAATCATTAAAGCAAATCCAGCCACATACATTCTTATATACTTCTGTACTGGACTCACTGTATAGCTGATTGCCAGTCAAGTAGGTGTTATGGCTTGAATTAATGAAATAATTGGGCATGGGAAACGACAGGTCCTCTTCGTACGCCTGTGTGTCTGAAAACTGCGGCATTGCTGAGGCAGTTGACATGTAATCTAGGAAGCTTGAGAAGCTGTCGAGAACGCCATGCTGCTGGCCACCGCGAGGCTGGTCAGCTTTGAAATGCTGGTCCTTTTGGATATTCTGCAAGAAATGAGCAGAGGCAGAGAGGGTTGCACCGTCCGGTCCCGTAGGCGTCTGTCCCTGTGACTGCAGCGACTCGTAGATGCGCCTCAGATGGTCCAGGACCGCAGGATTAAAAGAGTCGACTTTGTACGTCGACGGCGCCGCTGGAGCAGACGTCGTTGGAGATGCCATTTTGGGCACAGGCAGGCTGTTTGTAAAGGCCCTCGCGGCGGAGCTGGGCAGCGGTCCTCTCTGCCAGGCCAAAAAGCGCTTCTAGGGGAGCTTCTCCTGCTTCTACACAGCGCACAGTTTGATATCGAGCTCCAAGTGCGATTGTGACGTCTGGTCCTGTTTGTTTATATATGGTGGTGAGAAGGGATGAAGTTGAGTTGAGGTTGGCGCTGACGCTGACGAAGTTCCGGCCTTAAGTGGGAACCCGCGGGTTTCATTGGCTTCTTCCGTTCTTCCACCACCAACAAACAACACCTCCACCACCATCTAACACTACAGGTACTGCTGCTGTCACTGCTACAATGTGCTCCGTACCATTAACTACAACTAGCCGTGAGTAGGTGAGTCATTATTTTATTTGTTCAGGACGAGCCCAGTTGCTAACACCCGCTGCCAGGACCCTCTATCCCCGCCTGGCTTTCAGGAGGTGGGCGCAGGCCGCCTTGGAATGCTCCCGAACGTCCCGGAGGAGGACCCCCCCGTATTGAGAGCCTTCAGCTTCAGAGACGGCCTGCCTGGGGCTAAGTGGTGGCCTCTACTTCCGCGTTGATTGACTGGCTGCTTGATCCTGGTGTCCGAGGAGAACTGGGCCTGGAAATTCAGCCAAGCTCAGCCCGTTCGTCTCTTAACGATATGTATATGTTTGGCTTTGGCGGTGCGATTTTTCCCGGGCTGGCTGCAGTCTCTAGGATTTCCTGCGGCAAGGCGACGAGATAGAATGAGAGCGAGCCGTCTGTTTTCCTTTCGGACATAAAGAGCCGTGGATTGATATTTGCCAGCACTGGAGTGAAAGTAACGGGAGATGAACCATGAACCCTGGGCATGTTTTCCCTTGGGCATAAACATGTCGGGCCGCCTTGATGAAATTGGCTTGCCTTGCTTGTTACATGCACGGAATCCAGCCGGTATATCTCTTAGGTCCATGTGAATGAGTGAGACACGGCTGAGAATATCAGTCGCATCCTGCACCGCGCCTGAAGATCGAAATAACCTCAGCCTGTGCCAATTCCCATGCAGCAGATGAGCGGTATTTGGGACCGGCAATACTGCAAGCAGGTATCTGAGAGAGGGTTGCCATCAAGGCGTGTCTGGTTTACCTCTGCCATTCTCCAGTTGCATACGAAGTGTCCAAGCCCGAGTTCTTTGGAGGCAATTTCCACCGGGATTTGATCTACCCTCCCGCTCATGCATAGCCTTTTTTGGGTCGCTTTTCACTGGCGTACTTCCCCGCTGCGGACCATGCTGATGAGGTTGTCTTCAAATGCTCCTGCAATTCTTGCATCATGCAATTACATATTAACCCAAAGGGATACACGCAGCAACGTCAGTGCCCCCCTCTGATACGCTCACTTCCGCGTCTTATTACTGTCATTTTAGCCGAAGATGCGTTTTGCAGTCCCGGTTTGCTATTCGTCCAATCTCTCTCGTGCGTGGAAGAGGAGGTCACACCAGACCTCTACATGGCTGATCTCGAGCCCCCGCACTAACCACCTCGCGGGGTTGGTTCGGGCCGCAGCAGTTAGAGCTGTGGACGAGGATCCTTTTGAATTGACCCTGTATGGAGCAGCCAACCGCAGGAATTGGCGCAGAGTCAGAGCTGAGAATGTAAACAAAAAAAAGGGGATCAACGGGTA